ATGCAAAGATGGTAGATGAACAGAATGACCCCGGGGTTTCTCATAAGCCCCTGGGAGGGCTAAGGCAATAGAGATGTTACACAAGATGCACATAAGACACAGAAGGCACGAGAGACAAGTGACAACACACCCAAGGACTGCTCTGCCCTGTTCGCCTCAGCATTGCAAACCAAAGTGAGGCTTTCCTTCACTGGGGCCTATGGGGTCATTTCCAGAACCTCCCCATCCCCAAAGCTCACTCAAAAACCCAAACCGATCTCAGTCCCGACCCGCCACCCTGCTTTGATCCCCTCTGCGGGCCCCACTTATCTCTCAGAGGGCTGAAGATGTGAGTCACAGAGAGAGGCCGGTCGGGGGCCAAACAAAGCCACCTCGCTGTCTGGGAAGTTCTTCTCTCACCTGGCTGTTGTCTCAGACAAGTATCAGCACCTATGATAAAGAAAACCAAATATAAGAGCACAATCTTAGTGGCATATTCACCAAAACCCAACTCCTACTCACTCTCTCTTAGGAACGCCCGGGTCCTCGGGCACCACGCTTCGGCCATGCTCCGAGGGAGACGCCGTCGTCGCAGGGTTCACCTAGGATAAACGGAGAGGAGCGATGTAGCGTCGCTAAAAGTTGACCGCGCCCTCGCCGCTCCTTGCGACGTCCCCGACTCACCGCGACTCCTCGGCCGCACCTAAAGGGTACCCGGACCGCACCGACACGTGGACGAGGTCGAGGCTTCGTCACGGACTCCGGTATTATTTGCTGGGGCTCACCAGAGAGGCAAACCGGGTCTCTTGGCAGGTCAGTGAGGGGGCCTCAGCACAGCATCAGGAGGCAGCCTAAAACACACAAACAAGCAGGGAGTTGCACCAGAAACTGAGACCCCAGCAAGAACATCTGCTTCTCTTCACCAACTGAGGCTCACCTTCCACCTGCTTTGCCTTCCCTGCTGCTTTCTGGCTTTACTTCCTAGAAATAAATACAAAGAGTAGAGCTGTAACACAGTGACCGGTTCCAGCCCCGCTGCAAAGTAAAACCGTGACTGACCTTCTCAGGGGGATCCCCTCATCTGGGATGCAGCGCTCTGCCACGAGGTCAATCCGTCTGCATCTGAAAGAAAGTTAGGAAAAGAGTCAAAGTGCTGCAGGGTAACTTCACAGCTCCAAACACCTTGTGCCAACATAAGAATACCACCTAGACTCCAACTACAGCCCGTACTACAAGTCTCCGATTACAAGTGCCCG